TATATGCATACAAAATTTTAATTTCTTAGAGTTATTAATTTATAATACCTCTTTTATTAAAAAATTCAATTTCATTTATTTATTACTCGTTGTAAACGTAATCTGTTATTAATTGCATTTCTGGCGGTTATATCTAACATTCGATAATCAATTATTAACATGTTAATGTTAATAATTGATTATCGAATGTTAGATATATTAACAATTCGTATAAATTAAATTTTTAAATTGCACACGCACACACACACGCACACACACACAAATATTTTTCGCGTATACAGAGAAAAAATTATTGCGCACGCAAGTAAAATAGCTAGCAGTAAGATACCATGTCAACTCTCGCACAGGCGTCGAGAGAATATTTTTTCAACGCTCTGGAGCGCAAACGTGTCGTGCGGAAAATCGTGCGGAAAGAAGTGACTATCGTGCCGCTGCTCGCGGTGTTACCACTTTACTGATTCTTCTTGAGAGTAAGAGAGGAGAGTGAGAGAGAGAGAGAGAGAGAGAGAGAGAGAGAGAGAGAGAGGGACTAGGTGGATCATGAATACCGAAAGAATGGCGACAAGAACGATCGCGATCGGACGCAGTCTATTTTCCGCGCTGTTGCGCCGAAAGCGGGTCGCTATGCCGCGCGCGAAAACGTAAGGAAACGAAAAACAATCCCGGCGCGCAATAAGGAGAATATTTACCATTGGAACGAGGCAGACATTCGAACGACATTCCTGCACGCTCATTAGACAACATTTTTCTCAATCTCGATTGAAACATGTGCGAGAAACCTATAAAAACGACTAAACTCTCTAGGAAAAAAACTGACGTTTCGTATAGATATTAACAGCTATATAAATCAACTGTCATCCGGTATAAGCTGTCATAACCGTGGAAACTCGAATATTTTATTATTTAATTTTCCGTGGAGAGAAAATCAGTATAAAAAAAAAGATGTATCCATCTTCTATTAAAGTACAATATTTTAATTTAAGCAGAAAAAGTCACGGTATTCAAAAATAGCACACTAATGGATATACATACTTTATATTTTAATGAATATAAAAAATTCACTCGGAATTTTTTATTTTCTATGCGGATTAATTCCGGATTCTTATTTAAAAATTTTGTTTATACACTAACTATTTATTTAAATTATTTTATTTAAATCCTCACAGCGCGTGAGAGTGTAAACGATTTACCCACTTACTGGGTGTGTACAATAATTTTGTAGAATAGAGTTATACTATAAATATGCCTCATTTAATATACCGACATAAATAAAATTATGTCACGATAAAGATATTTTGTGATAATATCTTTCTGCTCCGCATAAAGTTATTTCCAAGCTGGGTTATGCAAATACTCTTTTTCGACCGTTAATGTACTTTTGAAACAATGTAATTAACATAAATTCAATTCGTACATTCGCGTTTGCTTACTTAAAGTACGTATACGGGAAGTTTGTCCGGAACGGGAAGTAATTTCCCTTATTAATAGCTGAAATTCAAAGTGATTCTCATAAAGGAGCTAATTATAGACATCGTTAAGCTGATTTAGTGCGGATAAAATTCCTCCCGGTTATGTTCCGGTATGTCCCGGTTTGGCGTCAATATTGAAAATTCTTCGGAAATGCGCGCGGGACGGACGACTTTAAAGGTCGGCGCCGGCGTCAAGTTCAACGACTAATTATCGCGAAACGAATTTGGCGCGTGCCCGTACTCGAGTCTCGCGCGCGAGCTCGTGCCGGCGATATTTTTCTTTCTTCCGGGACTTTCTTCGCGCTTCTATTTGTGGATATAGAAGAAGGAAGGAGTTACCCGGCGGTTTCGCCGCCGCGTAACTCGTTTTTCCCCTGCAAACGGCGTGGAGCGCGCCGTGCCCTCTCGAGCACGCTGCAAACACGTTTAACAACCATCGATTGAAAATATCGCGAGTATTTCACCGAGCGAAAAAGAGGGAAAAGCGGTGAGATCAGAAATGTTTTATCGCACGAGGGCTGCAGCCGGGGATACGTATATATACCTATATATAAAAAAAGAAAAGAAACCCGTAAGTTTTATATACTTAATACAGTTAAAAAACACGTGCAATTTCCCAGACAGTACGTTACCGCCGGCCGTGTGGTTAAATAAATATTTATCAATCTTGTATTATAAATATAAAATTCATGGATGTGAAAAGGAGGTGGCAACTGACTTGCGGAAGTAATCTTGTTGAATATGCATCGACTATCTCGTTCCCTCCCCTATATATCTTATAATGTAATCATTCGTTTCATAATTCACGAGAAATCTCGCGCATAAACAGAAATGTCAGAGTCTAATAGAAAAAAAAATGGAAATTACATAAATGGATACGAAGATGTTGGAAGATAATAATTTGAATTAAAATCTCAAGTACTGTGTCTCAGTTTGTGCAGACTATAAAATTACAGAAAAAAGAAAAGAAATTTGTATAACACAAATAAATCTTAAGAGCGCCTTCTACGGTCGACGCTGGATTTTGATGTCTAATATTTCTATATGAATTCTAAATTCATTATTCAGCCTTTTTCAGCGAATGTCGAACTTGCAACGCAATCATAAGTTAAAGCTGGAGCAGTGAGATCACAATTAAATTGATCTTCAATGTTGAATAATCCGATGGGAACAAGCATCTTAAAACACTGCGTAGAAATTTATTCGTGTATTCACTTACGCAGTCTAGTTCGACTCACTATTATCAATAAATTTGTATAAATTATCTATACGTATATTTTAACACGACGCACGTGATGTATTGTTAGACGTTCGAGTCTAGACGCGTAAACGCATTTGCTTTTCAGAGAAGTTATTTTTTCTCGCTCGCGATAACGATTCTTATCAAGTACACCGTGTTACGCACGACCGGAGAGGTTCGTTTACACCATTGCAATTTTGGGGTCATGCAAATAATGCGGTTCGGCGTCATGCAAATCTCAACTATTTATGCCAGACATGCAGATTGACTTCCACGAGAGAGAGAGAGAGAGAGAGAGAGAGAGTTCTGCCTCTATTTAGAAAATTACCATTGATTCACCCGGTCGCAAAAATGTATTGTTCTCACTCGAAATGCGAGATAGATAGGAACGAAATATTTCTCGCTCGGGAAAATTCTCTTCCGCCCTTGGCTTTCCATCGTCGCCGTCGGCGCGGTCCGTTACACCGCGACATTTGTCAGCTTCGCCGATAGAAAGCGAATACTTCGTACATGAGACGCGATGTAAAAATCTCGCGCTCACCGCAAAATTACTCTCTTGCAAAACCGCCGGGCGCGCGAGCCGTGTTCACATGCGGAAGGCATTAAATCAGGAAAGGAACCATTTGTATTTGGCCGTTATACGCCGAGTGCTCGATTCACATGAATGTAATTATGCGTGATCGACAAAATAGGGTGGGCAAATCGTATTACGCAAGTGGCAGTCGCCGTAACGCGATTTGATACACATGCGGAAATGCTAATTGAATTTCTTGATTAGAATATCTCTGGGCTGTAATCCGTAATATCGCTAATATCTGCGGGAAAGTAGAATTCGATTAACACGATTCCGTTGTAAACGACGGGGAAGGGGGGGCCAAGGGGGCAGCCCGCGGAACGTATTTATGTCGCATGAAACGCATATCTCACGGTCCCGTTGAGTTAATCCGTCCAATTAATCGGCCATTAAAAATGGAAGAAAAATAAACGTTATTAATTCCCCCCTCCCGTGCCCTTCTATCTCGTTATGTTTATTGTCAATACACCGGCAACAAAATAACACAGTTTCATATGATGAAACAACATTATTGAAGCTCCTGCGCCACGCGGGCGTAGCAAATTATGCCAGTCGCGTGACCGTTTCAAACGAACGTCGCCGATAATGCGGTGACATTCACAAATCTCGACTGACCACGCAAACGCGGGGACCTCCCCGCATATATGGGAACGCCCGTTTCCATATACCGTACTCGTGAAAACCTAAATTAACAATTCATTTTCCTTCCCGGCACAGAGTTGCGAAAGCATCGCGATAAGGTGGCTTTATTTAAATGGTCAAAGCAAAGCATATTTTACGCTATTCGTAATGCTCTAAAGATACGCGAGTATGCAAATAAATTGACACAATATCCAACTTAGAATGCAAAAACTTAGAACAAAAATAGTACGTCAGTGAGATAAAATTTTATATCGAGATGTAGAGAATAAGGAAATATTAAGAATATATTGAAAAAAAAATCAAGATTGATTTGTACAGTATTTCTCGTGCACAAATGTATTTATTGCACATCGTATATTGTGTCATTTGGCAATTTCAAAAAGATCCGTTTTATAAAAGCGGAAAAAATATTTAAATCGCCCAAGAGAGACAAGCGCGATCTTATCGGTCTTCAACGCGTGCAAAAATGTTACACGTGCGCGGCTGCGATATCACACGTACGGCTCTCGGCAAGCCATTGCCAAGGCCTTAACTACCGGCTTTCCAACGCGCCGCGGACGGGCCTTTTCGTAACAATTGATAGGATCGTAATAATAACAGCCGCGGCGCAAAATTACGTACATCCGGCGATAGTCGATTAACATAACAATCTAAGGCTATATATTACGCTCTTGCGTCAGCACGGTAATCACCATCGGCTGGTGACTTTTCAACTCTTATCGGACACACGGGGCTCTTCCTGGCTTTCCTCGTGTCTGTCATTAACCGAACATTGATGTACGAACGACGAGAGAGAGAGAGAATGAGGAGGAGGAGGAGGAGGAGGAGAAATTCGCGATCCGACGGCGATGAATCGACCGCGATTTATCGGCCGGTGACGGATCTAATCACGAAAAAGGGAAAAGTTAATTAGGGTCGCGCAGATGCTTTCCTTCCGGCGAATGTAATTATAGCGGCGTTTCACCCGAAACCCGTTTCTTCCGCATCGCCGCCGTCGCGCGGAATGCATTTTTCTCGAACCGGTTCGCGCTGAATAACGATAGGACTTTAATGACTTTTGTCGCTTCGGAATTAGGAGGATCAGCCGGTGCCATAGTGGCGTCTAGACTGAGCGACATACCCGAATGGAAAGTTTTGTTGCTGGAAGCCGGGCCGGACGAACCACCGGGTGCCGAGGTTCCCAGTATGGTGGCGATGTTTCTGGGTAAGTTTCAATTGGACCCTCCCCGTGTACATAGCACTGCTGTTCTGTTATCTGTACCGCGTTCAAACTACGCCGCGCGATAATGAGTATTTAGGGTGCTTACAATCTAGAGATCAATTTTTTTTTTTTTACTTTTATCGTTCAACACCGTGCATCAGAAGTATAATACAAGATACCTGCAAGCGCGCGCGAGAGCCTTTACGCCCCTGTTTCATTTTGATTCGGTCTTTTCCCCGGTGGAATATATTCCCGTTGAAAATGATCTCTTTTCATTTTCAACGTTCATTAATTATGCCACGAAATAAAATTTTGAGCGTATCTGCTTAAAATTCAATAAGAGCTAATATATTATCATTTATTAGCATCTTTGAAGCTTGATTTTAATCAGAGCGTCAAGCGTTTAATTCAACGATAATTTTATTAAAAGAGAATCGATGTCAAATTAGTTACGATAAAATCTGCAGGGACGTGGTAAAACGATAAAGCGCGTGTATCTGAGATATTCGCGGATCCGGAATAATATGCGGGAGTAATCGTATCGCGCTTTTATTCAAAACGCGCGTATGTGTTCCGAGAACACCTCCGCCGAGGGGAAATCGTTGCCGTGCTCATCTGAAATCTATATTATTGCGAGTGCTGTTACGATCCCGATTGCGGGGCTTTACGCATGTTAAACGATCTGACAATTTCGCCGATAGGAACTGACATTGACTGGCAGTATCAAACCGCGAACGAGATGAACGCTTGTCTGTCAACCGGCGGATCCTGCAGCTGGCCACGCGGTAAAAACCTAGGCGGTACGTCCGTCCACAATGGTATGATGTATATGCGGGGCCACGCGAAAGATTTTGACAATTGGGCGGCCATGGGCAACCCCGGATGGAGCTGGCATGACGTAAGATCCCATAATCCTGTCTCAAACTATTTCGAGCTATATCAAATATTTCGGAATACGGGAGAAATTGATTTTGGTCATAAAAGAGGCGAAACCAATCAGAATCTATCTCTTCAGGTTGCAAAACTTAAATGAGATACTATGAGGAATAAAAGATACAAATTACCGTTTCATGTCAACGCAATTCATTCAGTCGTAACTTGTCGAACTCGTTAAAGCATCATAAAGTATAAGTTATAATATCATTAGCATATGTATGGCCTAGCCACGATATTGCAAGTCTCTTGCAGTTTTATAAAACGATATCTAGAGAAAGTTCTGCTGGTAGATATTTTCAAATATCGCTAGAAGTTTTTCAGCTTCGGCATATCTGAAGAGATCGAATGAGAAATACACACATTTTCTTAAGAGATAATGGCCGATCTTGTTTAGGTCCTGCCGTACTTTATGTGCGGAGAGAACAACACGGAGATCCGCCGAGTTGGTCGCAAGTATCATTCGACCGGCGGTCTGTTAACCGTCGAACGGTTTCCGTGGAAGCCTGCAATCGCGGACGACATCCTCGCGGCGGCGACCGAAAGAGGATACCCGATTAGCGAGGACCTGAATGGCGACCAATTTACTGGATTCACTGTGGCTCAAACCACAAGCAAGGACGGCGTCCGAGTGAGTAGCGCCTCGGCGTATTTACGACCGGTACGGCATCGGCGTAATTTGCACATCTCCCTAAACGCCACCGCCACGAAGATCATCGTCGAAAATAACAAGGCCGTTGGAGTTCAATTTTATCAAGTTAGTATGCACGTTTAGATTCTCTTAACTCGATAGCGATGATACGCGGAACGTTCTCTACTTCATCATTTCATTATCATACATTAAAGGCTTAGTAATATTCAAATACGTATTTAATTTAATAATTATTCTATTCATTAACTCATATTACGTAATATATATTTGACACCTGTGCCAAAAATGAAACTCTTTAATAGAAATTAATTTTTCACTTTATTACTCGTTAAATGTAATTTAATGATTTGGTTTAAATTTATAGTTTAATTTAGAGTCTAATTTTATTACGGATATCTATTCTATTTAAAAATTTTAATATAAATAAAAAGAGATAGGGAATGAAATTTCAATTTGCGTCATCTATCGTAGGAGTCAAAAATGTCACTTATCACACGTTAATAATATGCCTTCCAAACTGTTATTATACGTAATTATGTTATACAATTTATCAGCGGCAATATTATCTATAAATCTATTTTCGAGTATTCAAGTGTCGCATGATTGACAGATAAAATTTTTATGGATACCGGAAATTTTGCTTGTCACGATATCGCGAGCAGGGAGGGAGGTTTTTATTCAGTTGAGAGTTACAGAGAAACCCGCTGCAACTTTTATTAATACGCTGAATATGTTACGCTTGAAAAATCTGTACTATGCACGAATGGGAATTTGCCGAGGGTCTTTATTTTAGCTATATTACAATACAACGCTCTAGTAATCATGCTCAGGAGTCGCACGATTCAAAGTCATTTTCATGGATATTAAAAACATTAGTTTTTATCCCGTTCGCTAAAGGTTCAAGTTTTTCGTGTTCACACCAATTACATAACAGCTGATATCACATAATAAAGTCACTTATATAGGTATTAAGAATTTTTATCTCGCTTGTTGAAATTATAAGTTTTTCATGCAAACCAATAATTACATAACGATTGATAATTCATGCGCAGTTATCGCGTAATAGAGTCACTTTCACGGGTATTAAGAGGATAATTTTTATCTTGTTTGCTGCATTTATATGTTTTTCATATGCAAATCAATAATCAATTTGTTCTAGTTTACTTAACATTAACGCCTTTAGACATCCGAGAGCGAGTCATAAAAGGTCATACTAATTCAGTTCAATCTTGTTGATTTAATCTTTTCATTAATTAATTGCAACATATCGGCGCGTAAAATTCCACGAATTTTATTTAAAAAAAATATATATATATGTTGTTAAAATGATACGGAGCATAATAGGGGCGATATCGTGTGACATCGGGGAACTTTGCTTTTTGCCGGGGCGGTTACCGGCACTTAGACGCGAAATCAAGTTCGCGCTCTAAAGCGCGTCGGTGAGTTTGGTGATGTGAGTTTCAATGAACGCATCTTCAGGATGGTGAACTTCGAGTTGCCCGCGCCACAAAGGAGGTAATCGCCTCCGGTGGTGCCGTAAATTCGCCTCAACTGTTGCTACTCTCCGGAATCGGGCCGAAGGAACATCTGCGGGCGGTGAACGTCACAGTCGTCAAGGATCTTCCAGGTAAGTGATCCATTCATCGTACGTAAGTCATTATGAATACGACGATGTATCCTCTCTCCGTGAAGATAATAATCCTCCGACACAGAATTTAACGTAATTTACCGATGACGCATCGAAAATTTATTATACGATCTTCGTAATTCTGCATCGTGACGGTAGATATCAGGTTTTTCGTCAGGTATAAATTTAACGAAGTCAAATGAGTGAGAGAGGAGTTTCGTGCTATTCGAAAGAGAACTAATTAGGCATTGAAGAAAATTAGTTCTTAGATTCTTTGGGGCATATTATTTAAAGTACGACCGAGATTAATTCTCGCGGATGTAGGTGCGAGCGTTAATTACGAAAGGCGCCAAGTTTTCGCTCTTATTGAACGTAAATGACGGAAATGAGCGTCGGGTCGACGCTCGATCGGAGTCACATCGACCGGAATTACGTCGAAGTCGATAATTGCGTTTTTTTTTTTTTAATCAGTCGGAACCATTTTGCTCCAGGTGTCGGGGAAAACCTGCATAATCACGTGTCGTACACTTTATCGTGGACCATCAATCAGCCGAACCTATACGACTTGACCTGGGCATCCGCCACGGAATATATCGCCTTCCAGAAAGGACCGATGTCGTCAACCGGTTTGTCACAACTGACCGGGATGCTACCGTCGGTCTACTCGACTTCAAATCATCCTGACATCCAGCTGTTCTTCGGCGGCTACCAGGCGGCCTGCGCGACCACCGGTGAAGTGGGCGCCCTCATGAACAATGACGGTCGCCACATCAGCATATCGCCGACGATGACGCAACCGCGTAGCAAGGGTAAGCGAAACGTAATTAGTACCGAAGTACCGAACTCCCGTCCGCAAAAATTAGGCTAATTAGATGGTAATTTCGATGAATTTATCATCGATCACCGTCGGGCCACCATGTACCAAAATTCCGTCCCGTATAATTTAACGCGGGAATGATAGGACCGGCTCGTGGCTATCACCGGGAAAATTTCTACAAATTGATTAATCAATGCTTTCCGCGTTGCGTCTCGGTGGCCCGTGAAATTCCGACAAATTTCGACAGTCAATGTGTCGCACGTCAGCGCATCCGTTCCACCACCGATTTAACCGCCGATAAATGAACCCGGTCACAGGGACGCTGCGTCTCGCCAGTAACGACCCGCTCGCGAGCCCGATCATCTGGGGCAACTACCTGAGCGATCCGATGGACGTGACGGTCCTCGTCGAGGGTATCGAGATCGCGATGTCCCTCGTCAACACCAGTGCCATGGCCAAGTACAATATGACTCTGAACAACAGCCCGTTGTCCACGTGCTCCCAGTATCCCTATCTGAGCAAGCAGTATTGGGCCTGCGCCGTGAGCCAAGACACCGGCCCGGAGAATCATCAGGCGGGATCCTGCAAAATGGGTCCGCGTAACGATCCCATGGCCGTGGTGGACAATCGATTGAGGGTGCACGGCATCAGGAATCTCCGCGTGGCCGACGCGTCCATTATGCCACAGGTAGGTATCTCCTTTAATCACGGGAATATCGCGAGTGTCGGCGCGTTTTTTTCCTTCTTTTTCTTACACCTTCCGATCAAAATAGACGGTCATTAGCGAGGCATTCGAATTTTCTCGTTGCGAAGATTCCTCTTTACGATTAACGCGCTATTATCGTTCGAATATACGTTCGTCATTAAGTTTTTAATCATTCGTCGGGATTCCCTATTACGTAAAGCTTATTTTACGATCTGTAATTTGTGAATTCAAGATAGTATTTTATTTCATAATCTTATGCGCCGTATAATACGGGAAACGATTGAAGAATCTGAATACGTATAAACATAAATTATATGTATATTACGTAACATTTATCCAAATACTGCATAAAAATTATAAATAAAAATGTGCGCCAGATTTTTAATTTTTCTAAAATCTGATAATTTTTATAAATTGTCTAAAAAAAGGTTAATGATGTAGGCTTTCGTGCGACAATATCAATGTGATAGTATATTTTAATTATACGTTATTGTTTTTTAATTTTTCTCGCTTATATTCAATCTTCCAATATAATCTTTACGACAAAAATTCTTTATTTATGCTATATTTATAAGAATTACATTTTTAATATCTATAAAAATTTGTAAAAACTCGCTGTAAGATTTCGACTCTGATTTTCTGACTGACGCGAAAGCTAAAAAGAGGAGATATAGACGCGAATATGTGTGATTGCTTTTTCAAGGTAACATCCAGCAACACGGCAGCTCCGGCCATGATGATCGGCGAAAAGGCGGCCGCGTATATCAAGTCCGACTGGGGCGTTGCCGGTAGACAATGGTACGAAACTTGCCCGAAACGGAAAGATCCTTGTCCTCCCCAGGGGAAACATAACCATCATCATTGGATGTGGCACAAATAAGTTACCAATTTACCATGTTTCCTAGTTCACACACGACGATCGACAATACGCTGGACCTGCTACTTTGGGGGATCAAGTACATCGACTGGGATCAGGCTATATGGTAGCCGGGGGCTCCACGATCTATCTAGTCTCTTTTTGCATCCATCCGCAATGCGTTATCCGCAGCCTATGAAAGTCGGCGAGAACGCGACCAAAGGCGAGGACTCTCTCTGTCTCTGGAAGATCCCCGTAGGCTGCGAATTCCCTTCTCTTCGGTATGATCGAGCGATCGAGCCGAACTTGCACATCGCTCAATCGCTCGAGCGCTTGAGCTCGAAATTATGCCGCAATGTGCGATTATTGTTACTAACGCAGCGAGTCGTACGACCGAAGACAGTCATCGTCTCGCTGTAACCGCCATGTCTTAATTTCCAGTTGGGAATTTCCTAAGATTGTGCGTATCATAGCGTCGCGGCTGTCGCGAGAGAGAAATTCATCGTTGATCAATTAGCCGCGACGCAACGAGCGCAAATCTCCGTACAACTTATAAACAAGTATTCTTACTATTATTAATTAACTAATTAATAATTAATTCCTATAATTAATTCCTCAAACAAGCTACAATTTCCTACAATTGCCTTTAGTTACTGTTGTGTCACCAAGAGTTTAGAATTACGAAAAAGCTTAGATATGTACATATTATGCTAATAATCTCTTTCAATATTCATAGTATATCTCTCAATAACTGTGGCATATAATACTACCCATGGATGTCCTATTGAAATGATGACCAAAGACAGATTCTGGTACCTGGTACACCAGCCGCCAAAAAACGTAGTAATTAATTGTTAACAAAACAAAAAAATGTAAAAAATGAAATGAATTATAAAATATGGAACTCGACCGCTCTCAGCCGAGTGTAAATCAAAATATTGTAAATAAACAAGATTGCATTATAGCACAGATCAAATATGGAATAACCTCTCCACTACCGACGATCCGCTGGAACGATTACGCTATTATGAATTGCGCTTACACATCGTAAATAAATACAACAAACAAATAACTGATAATTAAAATCTTAAAAATGAAATAATTGCTTGTCGTATAGTGGCAAAATATTTATTGAAGTTAATCCGCTTGTATAAAAATATATATTGTATAAGTATATATTGATAAAAGCGATCAAACAATTATGTCAATTACGTCAATAAACTAACGTCTGTAAAAATTTTATAGTGCGATGCACAAGCTTTTGCCACGACTTCCGGAATTCAACGGAAACGCACGTCATAATAGCGCATATCTATTTTATTTGCGCCACTTTAGTGACAGACTATCCGTCATTTTTCTGAAAATGATAGCACACACGGTGATTTACAAGTGTGACAAGCGGGGATTATAACAAGCGCCGTTATTATCGTTTTTATGTTATGTGCGTTCAGCACTTAATCACAGCTAGACATTTCACGGAACGTGCATATGCATATACGCGAAACCGGGTATATAACAAAGCGACACCAAAACGGACGCCACAATCAGGTAGTAAAAGCCGAGCACAACGGACAATACTCCTTACGACGATCGCAATCACGGAAAATGGTACGTTGATATTCTGCGGGTGTATCGCCTGTCAATTGTTAGGTACGAAGAAGGTAAAGAAAAAAATGAATACTAAAAAAACTATAAGTTGCGAGTTCAGGAAGCGTGCTGTCAGCGTTATTGCATCATTTTTTAGTATAATTAAAAATAAAAAGACAATAGCGCTGATAGCGCGCTCCCCAAAGTGGGTTATTAGCGCTGTTATTTGACGTCTAATTAACAATAATTATAGATAAAATGACACAGTAGCACTGACAGCGCGCTTCCTGAATTCATATAAAAAGGTAATGTCCAAGTTAAGTCTTGAATTTTTAAGTGTAACTCAAAGTTTCAAAGCACAATAGTGCAAGAAAATATGCAATAAAATATAAAATAATGTAGAATAATCTCCTGAGTATAAAACTTTTTTTCAATATTTTGAGACAGAAATTGGAACAGGCAACGAATATATTTGAATAACATGGTATTTGTCTACCGTAATTAATTTCTCCAATTAGAATTTTATAGAATTCCATAAAGTTAATCGGGAGAATTATGCAAGATTTAATACACTAAATCCCCGTAGATTATTACCGTAAGTTATTCGTAATTTGATTGCAAGAGTAAAGTGATTTCCCAGCAGTAATGGCCGTGATATTCGCAAAATAATGGAGCATCGCTCTACGGTTTATACGATGCATAAACTCGAGATCAACATTCTTAAGTGCCGCAATATATTTAGTCGTGTAAACTATACGGTATTATAGAACGTGTGTACGTCCTACGAGATGCTGGGAGCATCGTGTGCATCGCCCTTCGTAGGCGGACCCTCATTGAACGACGTCTGCTGCGGCAATTCCGCCACTTTATTTCTGTCCATGCTGACAGTGTTAACTACCAATAGCTCAATAATTAACGGTGTGTGTGAGCGAATCACACCCATCAAGACTCTGCGGTATAATTATGACTTCATTGTCGTTGGAGGTAAGATAATCAATGTATCCGTATGTAAACATAATGGGCTATCAAAACCTATCTTGTCTAGCAATTTAACGAAGCGTTTCGCGAAATTATGGCGAACGCAGGATCGATTCGCACGCGAACTCGAGATTCACATCCCTAAATCGTATCAATTAAAATTGACGTTAAGATGATCTTCACTTATAAAACATTTGAGTGATTTGAGTAAATATTAATTCATAACAGATAAATTATGTATTTTTAATTCAGGTGGTGCGGCTGGACCGATCGTGGCTTCTAGACTGAGCGAAGTTAAAGACTGGAACGTACTTCTTGTCGAAGCTGGTCCGGACGAGCCACCTGGCACGCAAATTCCGAGCAACCTTCAGCTGTATCTCAGTAATATATCTTTATGTCTTTACGGTCGCTGAATTATACGTTTAAATTTAGCGACTAATTTCAATATCGTGCGATATTGTAGACACCGAACTGGATTGGAAGTATAACACTACGAATGAAAAGTACGCGTGCTTGAGAAATAACGGCAGCTGCAGCTGGCCAAGGGGTAAAAATCTCGGCGGTTGCACTTCTCACCACGGTATGGCGTACCACCGTGGACACGAGAAAGATTACAACAGATGGACAGAAGCTGGGAACGAGGGATGGTCGTGGAATGAAGTACGAAGCAAGAAGAGATTATTTTTAAGATTATTATTAAGATCTTTTGCACGTAAGGCGTTATTAATTTTTGTACTTTAGGTGTTGCCGTACTTCATTAAATCGGAAGACAATAAAGAAATTGAAAGGGTCGGCGCAAAGTATCATGGCACTGGAGGTCCAATGACGGTCGAAAGGTGCAAACATCGCGTTTTCTTGAACTACACTACTCTAGTTACTCACTACACTAGTTTCTCACACTTTTTTTATCGCTACCGCGACTGCAGTCTTTACGTCATTCAAGATAAAAAACCGATCTGGAATTATTCGTGTCTTTTTCAGAGTAGTTGTAATATTGTGAAGTAAAACGTGTGCTTGCCATAAATAATCAATTTGTAATCACTTTTTGACGTCGGTTATACAACCAGTTATTCTTGGAAATTAATTTTATCATCAAAAATTATTCCAGGATTATTCTCACGTATCCCTATCTATTGCAATCAGCGCGGTTGATCCGGCATTCATTAAACGGGATCTATACGTTTGGAACTACAGCGTGCCTCTAACTTAATCCCCGCAGTTTCCTCGCCGATTTGATCTACACGTACGAATTAAACTCACTGATTACTTTCACTAATAGATTCCCCTGGCAGCCGCCAATCGCTTGGGACATAATAAAGGCGGCGGAGGAGTTAGGCTTAGGAGTCAGCGAGGACTTGGTGGGCGAGAAGATCACGGGTTTCACTGTGGCGCAGACGATCAGCAGGAACGGCGTCAGACAGAGTACTCCCAGGGCTTACTTGTGGCCGCATAGGAACCGCAAAAATTTGCACGTGGCTTTGAAAGCGACTGTGATAAAAATCGAAACAAAAAAATCTCACTCCAATGTGAAAGCCACAGGAATCACTGTGGTTATGGTAAGACTCATACTTTTTATGCGCGCAATTTCGTGATTGCGATTTTCATGAATAAACGATGATCTGTTCCGGGCTTGACGGACGGCTTACTATTCGCAGAACGGCCGAAAACACCACATAAGAGCGACGAAGGAAGTGATTATTTCGGCCGGCGCCATAAATTCGCCTCAGCTTCTGCTCCTATCGGGCATCGGGCCGAAGAGGCACCTGGAATCCGTAGGGATTCGTTCGGTCCACGATCTGCCGGGGGTTGGAGAGAATCTCCACAATCACGCGTCATACGGCGTGGACTTCACTCTTATTGAGCAGAATGAAAATCTACTGAATATGAACAATGCCGATACGTATCTCTTCAATCAAACCGGCCCGTTGTCGTCCACGGGACTGGCCCAGGTCACCGGGATTCTGGCGTCCAACTACACCACCGCGGATGATCCGGACATCCAATTCTTCTTTGCCGGCTATCAAGCAATTTGCAACACGTGCGACAGAATTTCGGATTTGAAAGTGTACGATAACAAACAAACCGTCAGGTTCACCGCCGTAAATCTTCGACCGTTGAGTAGAGGTAAGTCAATGATTATGTAAATCGCGTTTTGTCCTAAATAGCGCAGTATTAGCATAAGAGAGACTAACAATGTAGATAGCTATGTATCGCAACATGTGTTCAACGATTTTAAAGCAACAATTTTCACTTCTTATGTGAGCATTCTTCGAAATTATTGTAAAATGTATTTTTTTATCTGTAAATGTTTTAGAAGAAAATTGATTGCATTCCAATTATAATTAAAATGAACAATAAATTGAATAAAATAAGAAAATTGTGTAATTTTCTGCAAAGAATGAAAATTCTGTCGCAATAGTTAATTTACATATTTTATATTAATAAATTCTAGGTCGAATAACGCTTGCCTCAAAAGAGCCTTTACAACCTCCGATTATTTGGAGCAACGATTTGGCGCATCCGCAGGATCGAGCAATAATTTTTCAGGGTATTCAGGAAATTTTAAAGTTATCAAAGGCAAACGCGCTGCAAAAATATTCTCTGAAGATGGTGGAAGACGAAACTATCTCAGAATGCGAACGATATAAGAAAAATGGGGCCATGAGTTATGCGTACTGGGATTGCAAATTCCGATACGACACCAGGCCCGAAAATCATCAGGCTGGCACTTGCAAAATGGGTCCGTCTTCGGATCCAATGGCTGTCGTTGATCCAAAAACTCTCAAGGTCCACGGTATAGATGGCTTAAGAGTGGCTGATGCCTCAATTATGCCGCGGGTAAGTGACAATTTTCAATATTATAATAAACACACGGCCAATTAATATATAATCATATTAGTCTAACGATGTGCTGAATACATAAATAATTTTATAAAATTTTATTATATATGACATTCCAGAAAAAAATTGCAATTAATATATCTCTCCGCCTTCTGTAATTAATTAATACTTTTTTATCTCTCAGATGGTTTCCGGTAATCCTGTTGCTGCAGTCAACATGATCGGCGAGAGAGTCGCCAGTTTCATCAAGAGCGATTACAAAATGAGCGACAATTAAATAAAGAAGATTAGACAATGACTGTCTAACCTTCAAAAATGTTATACCAAAGAATTAGAAGTAGTATCGATCTTTGTTTCCACCGCGTTAATAAATATTGCACTTGTAGACATAATTTTTTATGAGATATTTAATACAGATATTCAGATATGGATATAATTATACCAAAGAATTAGAAGTAGTATCGATTTTTGTTTCCACCGCGTTAATAAATACATATTTTACTTGTAGACATAACTTTTTGTGAGATATTCAATAAAGATATTCAGCAGATATAGAGATAGCCGTGTGCATTTTCCTATACCTTTGTCAGCCGACATGTTAATATTTACACAGAAAGAACGATTTTGTTGAGAGATCTACAAATTTTGCTGAATGCAGATCTGAAAATTATTTCTTGTTAAACCATCAAAAAATTTTGCTAGAATGTTAAAAATGATAAGCATTGCTATAAAACGTTTTTATTCTAGCAATTATTTTGACTTTCTGACAAAATTATTTTGATTATTGAACAAAAATTATTTTGAGATCTGGGTCCACTAAAATTGTTTTTTCCGGAATGTACACTGATTCCGAATAAAAGTTACAGGTAACAAAGTTAAGATTAGTTTATGAAACGTTCTGATTTACGAGATCGATATTTTCGCCGTCATGAAGATTAGTTGAATTAGTAAGTGCGATGACAAATTAATTTAAAACATTTTTTACATTAGTAAAATAGTATATGCTAATTACTAGTAGAGCTTGAACTAGAATTCATGCCATAGCTGTTCCTACGTATTCAAATATGGAATTTCGAGTTAAGCTTAACTGTTCAGAAGTAAACCATTTAAATAGTTAGGTAAAGTCAGATTCCGTTCGACCAAAACTGCATGCTATCCAGGTCAGTAAGACGATCGAAAATTATCACTTAATTTAACCGTCGACGAAATTGAAGTCGTTTCGCTCTTCTGTGGCGCCGCGAAAGAATACGCCCCGGCCATCTCAAAGGATCCACTTACGATATCTTACGTCTCAATTATTAAGATGGAAACGGGATAAAACGAGGGAATGCACCTTGAAGGAGGTCGCGACGGAATGGAGCGGTACGAACGGATGTGTCCGTGAGGACTCACAGAAACTGGAAGTCTAGAGAGAGAGAGAAAGAGAGAGAGAGCTGGGCACTCGACCTCCTTAGACCCGCGCGCGTGCTTACACGAGAGCGATTTCGCGACCCTTCGCTTGACCTCAGCAGCTATTCATCCATCTGAACCTTTTCGAGATCGAACGCGCTTGCCTCTAGAGTGCATTAAATCCGAACGCCCGATGAACCGCCCGGAGAAAGATCTATGTATATAGTCATTGCTGTTCGGGACAAATAATTGACCAATTCGCTGCATATCGAGAATACCTACCTACTCCATTGAATTATGTTAATGCAATTATCCTGAAGCGTTCCCAAGTGAAATTTAAGTAGGTCGCCTCGAGCGTGAATCTCGTAAGAGATATTTTTACATTTGCGAAAAAATGTAAAAATGTAATGCGTTTACTGCACGTTAAACTAAGATAAACTAAGAATTGTCTGCTCGTATACAGCCGTTCACTTGACGTTCCATATATTCTTCGAGTTGCTAAACCTATTGTGCACGTTGTTTACGAGTGCTGCATGCTGTGAACTGACGTTATAAAGAGTGTCCTTGAATTTCATCACGTCGCGATATAGAGAGCGTGCTCGCGCCTTCCGCGAGAGAATGTCAGATCAGATCGCTCGATCAGGCCGCATCCGGAATAGCATACGCTCGTGTCTGATATATGGAACACGAGATGTAGCGCAACATAGATATGCATTAGCTAATGCCGTCCATTGCTTCTTACGAAACCCTCGCCTTTCTCAGGCCACTACGGATATAAATGTTCCGCTGAGGACATTACGATCGCTCAAAGCGCGTCGCGTAAAATCCGCTGGAAAATTGAATAATTGCGGCTATCGTTAACTTCCGTTAAACCGACCAGTTTGCGAAGTTCGAATCGTTGCCATCGGTCAACGTGTAACGCAGCTGGATATGCCGCAAAGAATTAATCCGAGTCGAAGCATTTGAAGCCCAAGGTGGTCCTCGGGCGCCTTTCTAACTCCACATTTGCCCGCGCGGAATCGCGCAATTTTTTGCAATATTTCAGGAATCGCACGAGATCTGCGTTCGATATTTTACTTGTCAATGACGGTTGTTATAGTTTCGTCGCTGCGAACGCGAGAAAAAAAATTTAAACATCACTTGCATCATTTGCGCGCCACTGAAATTCTGAAAGACATTTGCGATCTTCAGACTTCAACATACTGCGACTTCCGTCATGCTCCGTATATCGTCTCACGTGAGGCCAACTATGGAGCTCGCTGGAGAAGCTTCACCGAGGGAGTTTATCCGCTCGACCTCGCGCCGCCCGGCCAAACGCTCGCGGGAAAAGTCCCCGGCGAGAAGTATATGACGAGAAGAAGAGAAAAGAGAACGTTTGACTATTCATGTTTTCGACGGACGCTTGAGAGTCACTGACGGACGCGGCGTCAGCGTGTAGACACCATTATATACACAAGTCGGCGGGTCCGCGAGCAGATGATGAGATAAACAAATTATAAATAAAACATTGAACACCCTCCAACCTCCCCCCCCCCCCCCTCCTGTGTGAGCAGAGAAAAAGAACTAGAGAGACAGAGGGGGAGAGAGAGAGAGAGCACGCAGGTGGCCTAGGCGCACCGCTATACATCCGCTCGCACGTAACTGCACTCCTCCTCCGTCCGCGCCCATCTCGTCCTCTTCGTCCTCTTCGCCCTCTTCGCCGTCGTCGCGTCGCACTCGTTGTCGTTGTGCCAGGACCGTAACGACTGCTTTGAATTTCATGAGGGTGCGAATGAATTCATGGTGGGATGGCGGCGGATGGCGGTTGGCCCCGGAGACTCGGCGACTTCAAACGCCTCCCGGTGACCTCCCGGGTGCGCGAGAGGCCGCGCGCTTCACAAAAGTCGAGGAAGCAATTCTCGTAATACTAACTGCCGCTCGTTTTATGCCGCGTATAATTCCTTAGGCCGACGATTCCTGGGCGGTCTCTCTCTCTCTCTCTCTCTCAGAGCGAAGCCACGAGCGATTTTTCAGGGTCTCCATAAACGTCACGGCATCTTCGGTCGTTTCGCAGTGCATGGGTACGTTGCGGAACGCGAAAGCGCGAAAGAGAAAAAAAACAGAGCGAAATATATTACCGGCGGCGCGAGGGCCTTCGTTATTCTCTTCATTAAATAACACCATGAATCAATAATCTGTTTTCGAGATTCCAGTCCGCGAAGCCATGGACAGAAATTGCGTAATGTATTTATGGAGACACTTAGGAGGACGGCACGAAACTCCAGCCCATTATGAGGTAAAGCCTTTATGAATTATGTAATCCATTAAATTGCGAAATATCGGACTGATAAAGCAGGTGCGGTCATGGGTATTTCCGAAAATTATGCACCAATTCCTCCACGAGGCGAATCCGATTATACCGGGTGAACCCTTCGCGCCCGACATAATGAAATCTCCGTTGCCTCGTTAGATAGTAACACCGGTCGCTTTGACACTGGAATTTATAATTCCTCACGCCGTTAATGCGGCATTAGTGCAGAGTGATAAAGTTACGGCGAGGCTCAGGCGACAGCCAGATGACAAACAAATAACTACATTAACATTTCGGTGCTCGACATCTCACCTCTAATTAAAAGGATGTCTGAATTTAACGTCTGAAAAACCCGTCCACCACTTCGGAAACCGAAGTAAGAGGGTAAAAGATTCTCGATACACTTTCAATTTAGGTATACATTCTGAGCAAAGCTGTCGGTTTGCGAGTCAACCCTCTCACCATATTGTTGATTCTCTAACGGCCTTCTAACAAGCTATCCGCAGCGAATTGGAGCGTCGAAGCGAACATTTTCGATAGCAACTTCGACATTCATTGTATCACGCAGAAAAAGGATTAGCCAATAAAGGTAAAATATAGCTACGGCAGCTAAGATGTGTCGTTAAAATAGGGACAGCTAATGTCGTTGCCGCCGAAGTTCAATTTATTAGTTATTAAAATGTAAGTGTACAGCAAAAAATATTTGCTGCTCAAAATCAAATGATATTTAGCCGAATCTACTACGTTATTTTATCTTCGCAGTAGAATAATATTTGCAGTATATAGCTTATATACTGCAAAATATAAATGCTAAATGCGCTGTAGATGTGCATATGGCAGTGCCACATTGCAAAAACAATTACAAATCAAATTTTCGCGCGTAGCTATAAACTTAACTCTGTGTGCTAAATGTGTGCGTGAATAAGACATTTAGGTACGCATGCCATCTTTTTAGCTGCCTTTACTAATATATGCTTTTAATTTCAGTTTAAAAATTTTTTTGTCATAGTGAATGTTTTTTATCTGTAATAGACAGAACTTAACAATGACACTAAGGCGGTAGCTCTTACACTTAAGTTTGATTCAGCTATTGAAATTTAGCTACTATTACTAACAATAAGTCATTTTTTTGCGTGATACAACCGCTCTATATCGTTCTCGGGCGAAGGCCGAGATAAGATGCTCCGCGCGGACCCTCGTTGTTACGAAATCGGCAGACAAACGAGCGGAATCATTAATATTTGACCTCGTGGATTACGCCGACAAATCCAGGATGGTAGCTCGTCGTGCCGGCAGGGTGAAACACAGAAAGGAACCAATCGCATCTCACGTTCTAAGCCACGGTATAGGCTTAGGGGCGCGTAGCTCAACGTACCGCCGCGGGGTAAAATATTTTGCCGGTTGCCTCGTTATTTATCTTACCGGAGAAAGTTGTTGGTGTCGTCGGTAGTCGTCGTAATAAATGTCCCACCCCCGAAGAACGGACTTGGCTCGCGCGGGGGTGAGCGAGGCGTCGTTACATAAGTTGGCCCGTCGTCGGAGCGAGCTGGTTTTGCCCTACTTTTTGCGCGGCATGCAGCCGCGATCGTGTCGGGGACAATGTACAAAGCGTCTAGCGCCAGAAAACAAGATATGAAGACAAGAGGAAGAGAGCGAGAGCGATCGCCCTATTCTACCATTTTCCGAGATCTGAGGTCGGAATACAAGAAAATAAGGGTATGAGATCGACGAGTGATTCTATTTTCGCGAGACGTACGGAAAGATCGTAAAAATTACCAAGATATAAAGATTATTTATTTAAGATTATAATATATAATATCTATATATAATCTATTCCTAGGTTACTTATAATTAAATATAACGTCTACTCCAGTA